TACCGCTAGTATATGCAAGGTGTCTAACTGTGTACGCTCTCGTGTTGTCATGGGGGATATCATTAGGAAATGCATTCTGCCACCCTTCCATTATAATCCTATCAATAAACATATAGTTATTCATTATGAAATATGATATGGAGTAAGCTTAAAATACTTGGTATAGAGGGTAAACCAATTACATGATAAATTAGAAGTTAATTTACTTTGCTCGGTACAGGCAGAATGTTGTTTTTAGCAGAATATATGTATCTCATATTTAGACGCGTATTTGGAAAGGTGACATTTAGGTCACGTATACTACGGTACAGCGTTCAAAGGGAACATCTACCACAACGAAAACTATGGTCACAGTTTCTGGTTGAAAGAGTTCATGACTCAAAACATAACCTTGCATGTCGCCATTCTTCTAATCCCAATTTTCACGGTTAAGTAAGGAAAGACAAGTGTATACATTCATGCCATATCCAGGTCTGGTAAAGACGCCTGTAGCCTCCAGGGTGGCTTGGTTATTCTTGAGTGTGTCTCGCCACAATCACACAAAGGTACTGTTCGTGAGGTCCGTGTTAAATTACCACTTGTCACCTACTCGTGTTGTTACAGTGTCGAGCAGACCGTCGTGGTGATTATTGTAACATTAGAGGACGGGGGAGGTAACGCGTACAATGACGGCGATCTGGACATTTGACCTCCTTGATGCCCTTGTTCACAGAGATACTTTTATCATGGTAGACAGTGGTAGGAAATACGTTTCTGATTTACTTCTGAGGTTAGGTCGGCTGTGTGTAGTAGGCTGGCAGTGATGCAATGCCTTACATCATAATGTACTCTGTTCCAGCAGAAAAGGGGTACCCGGTGGGATAAGTCACGTGACTATAACCTTCTAGCGCCTCACAGGCTTTTTGTGTTATCCGGGGTAATATTTAATGAACTCTGACTTACATGCGCTTAGAGCATGTCCCTCAGTGATGTGGATGAGGCGCTATAAATGTACATTTTTATTGTTATTACTCTATCTTTCAGTGGTGAGGATTTGCTCGGAACTGAGCTAGGATTGGCCTGTTTTAAATTACCAATGTAAAGCTCTGCCCCCACCCTTTCACTGGACCATGCACTTTTGTAACCATCATTTTTGCTGCACCCCCTAACTACCCTAACCAACATGGGCACAACACCTGAAGCCTATTTCTGCTACCCCCTGCTGTGATATTGCTTTAATAGTTGCCGTAAAACCATACCCACTCACTCTTAGCCACTCTGATTACCCCAAAACAGAGAAATAAAAAGCCTTGAAAAAACATGCTTTCGAAAATGTTAATATTGTTGCAAGTTTTATATCTCCATAATTTGTGCAATTCATTCATAAGATTCTGATCGATGCTCATGCTGTTGATCACTGGATTGTCTGGTCCAGCTTCGATTATTTACAGACCGCCACCATATAGCTGGAATATTGCTGAGTGTGGCGTAAAAAGAAATGGTCCCATATTTTCTGACAAGTCTAAATTGTTCTGATAGGTTCCTCTGTCCAAAGTAGTGATATACGACGTTTCTGTAATTACACAGGTTCAAGTCTGGAACACGTGACGAATAGCGCACAAGATAAAACAAATAGTAATGCAGCTGTGTGTGCAGGAAAAACCTTCCACTTTACCTCCAACGGATGCCCGTTTCATATGTGGTGTGTTCCGTTATTCATTGTTTTTAAGCTCATACATATTTTATTGATTCATATTTTATTATGGAACAAATTATGTTCACCTTTGCTATATTATGTTTGAGAGTTTCAAGTCGTCCATCTGTCATGTGTATCCCACAGCTCCGATATTCGCAGAGTTGCCTCCCTTGGACTTACCAGAAACTTTCGTGGGCTCGAATCCCAGTTTACCTCGATTATGTCCCTTGGCTGGTATTAGGGTAAGCGGAACAACCCTGCGTGTGGCTTCTACCAAAGAGGGGACGATGAGGTAAAGCGTTCGCTCTTCACCCCGAAGACACGAGTTCGATCCCTCGCATGGGTACAAGGAGTGAAACCATTTCCGGTGTCCCCGCCGTGATATTGCTGCAATATTGCTGCATTATTGCTGAAAGATCTTCATCTGACATCATCTTCATTATCACATTCCTCCCTCTCCCGAACTCACCTACACACTCAAATGGACAACTATTCCATGAAAGATTTTCAAGGAAATTTGACACTGGTCGAAGACGCTTACCTTGTTTTTTCAAACAAGTCATGGGTGTGATGTAAACAGACCGACAGCCAGTCTGCGTAAGTCTTTCGAGTTGATTCACGAACACCCATTTTTATTGCTACACTGTTAAAAACGCCGCAAGATAATCCATGATAAATTCGATACAAATGCAATAGTTTTAATTGAAGGCTGTTAGTCACTGTTTTGGTGTAGTGCTCAAACAAAACCTTTATGAAGAAATTAAATAAGATCGCATGAAAATGTAAAGGTGGTTGCACGTGCAAGTTATCACAAGCATGTGCAGTGACAATGACTGTATGATCAAACGTTTAATCAGTCATCATCTAGTCATACGTTTGTCGACCATACCCATGAGAATTGATCTTCAGCATCCCATGCTTGTCGTGAGCGGCGACAAACGGGATCGGGTTACTCGCTGACTTGGTTGACTTGGTCATCGTATCCCAATTGCGTAGATCGATGCTTATGATGTTGATCACTGGATTGTCTGGTCCTGACTCGATTGTTTACAGATTGCCGCCATATAGCTGGAATATTGCTGAGTGCGGCGCAAAAATAAACTCATTCACCATGTACTTATACTGCAAAGGCTCAGTGGTGTCAAGTGCTACACCGCCAACAGTGAAGCTGAATACAGTGGATAGTCCCAGCAGGTATTCTGTTGCTCGTCATTTCAGCGCAGGACAGTACACCAGATTATGAGGACGCTTATGAGGACGGTATACCGGCCTCAAATGGCAGATTCAGCAACAAGTCCCAGATTGATCGCCCCTACAAGATCGGGTCTTTCATCGACATAATCGATATCCCGCATATCAACTACGTAGATTATATATTTTTTTAATGTAGCTCTAATCCGTTTCCAAGTGGAAGTTGCTTTAATGTTTTATAAAGTACAGATTCTATACGTCTTATTCCAGTGTAACATCCTCAGGGTATGCTTAGTTGGATACGTCATTGCTACGTTAATCTTGAACTCACTCACGCTACTTAACAGGGTTTTTTCCATGGAGCTGTCGTGTTGCAGTTACAACTTGAAAGACAGAGAGAAGAATCCCTGGAAAACATTAACTTCTCCCCACACTAAACAGTAAACAAAAATGTTCTCTGACATTATAGGCAACAATGCCTTGAGGGTTCCGAAGTATTTGCCGAAGAAAAACTCGATAACCTTTCACTAACCACGACAAATAATCTTCGTTGACTATGCGAAGGGTTACAAAAATTGAAAGTAATTTTACATCAATATTTATTGGATGAATATTGTCAATAACAGTTAGGCGCCGTCGGCAGTTGGCCATCTCTCTCACAACTCCAACGCTGCTATGGGAGAGGACATCCTGACAAGAAAACAAAATCAATTAGCAGATCTTCACAACACGATGTAAATATTGCTTTCTTCCAAGGAAACATTGACATCAAATCATTACCTCACGTATGAACACTGAGAACGACTAATCATGTTATATATTTTTATAAAGAAAAGGATATGATAAAAACATATTGAACTATGTAGCTATTGATCGTTAGACAGGAATGAGGTGAGGTGAAATTGGGTTTAAGGTTGTGCTTGAGAATATTTCGATCATTACCTCACGTATGAACACTGAGAACGACTAATCATGTTATATATTTTTATAAAGAAAAGGATATGATAAAAACATAATTATTGAACTGTGTAGCTATTGATCGTTAGACAGGAATGAGGTGAGGTGAAATTGGGTTTAAGGTTGTGCTTGAGAATATTTCGATCATATGATGACATGCATGCGTGTGTATGTGTATGTGCGGCTGCTTGTACTAGCCCAGACTTAAGCTGGTTTTATAGTGCTAGCCCACTGAGATACCATGCCGCAATTAAGCATGAATACCCCACTCAGACACATTATATTGACTCCGAGCCGACCAGTCCTTGTTGTACCCATTAATGCCGAGCACCAGGCAGGGACCAACAATTTAAGTACCATATTTTAACGTCTTTCGGTATGACGCGGTCGGGGATCGAACCCGCGACCTTCCGCTCTCCGGGCGGACGCTCTAACCACTACACCACGGAGGAGGTAAGATAGGAATGAAAAAAGTATTTCATATTTTCGCAAATCGTCCGAGACGAAGCTTCCTTCCGGTCAAACATAGTAGAAGAAAGAAGAAGAAGAAAATAGTTTATTAACGTGTCCCGTGGTATACAACTGACAAGTTAAAATCGCATAAAATACAATACAAAATGTAGACCACCCGGCCCTACGACCTATGAGACACGATAACTACTTAACACAGTAAAGAAATCATTTACACTCTTGTTTACACAAGGATCAAGTGATTGTAAAGCCCCGTGAAGATCCGGGATAGAATTGGTCTTCTGCAACCAATGCTTGTCGTAAAGGGCGACTAACGCGATCGGGTGGTCGGACTCGCTGACTTGGTTGACACATATCATCGTATCCCATATGCTCATGATGTTAATCACTGGATTGTCTGGTCCAAACTCAATTATTTACGGACCGCCGGAATACTGAGGCGGAATATTGCTGACTGCGGCGTTAAACAATATTGACATAACTTTGTCCTGAGCTAGGAATCGTGAACGCCACCCACCTCTTCTAACCTAGGTGGGGGCGGTGTGGTAGCCTAGTGGTTAAGGCCTTCGTTCGTCACGCCGAAGACCCGGGTTCGATTCCCCACATGGGTACAATGTGTGAAGCCCATTCTTGGTGTCCCCCGCGTGATATTGCTGGAATAGTGCTAAAAGCGCATAAACTCAAACTCACTCACTCACTCCTAACCTAGGTGCTGATATGGTTGTAGGTGGATGTCAGTGGCAGCGTGATGCTAACTGGACCATCATCATCTAGCCAGGAATGGTAGTCGAACGTAGATATATGTCCCGAATACAGCTCGTCAATAGTCAGCTGAGGAAGAAGGAACAGTGTATTTGTAAGTGATATTTATGATAAAGAGGAGCCAATTTTATGGGTTGACATCCATTGCAATAGTGGCGGTGGGGTAGCCTAATGGTTAAAGCGTTGGCTCGTCACGCCAAAGACCCGGGTTCGAATCCCTACATGGGTACAATGTGTGAAGCCCATTTCTGGTGTCCCCCGCCGTGATGTTAGCTGGAATATTGCAAAAGGCGGCGTAAAACCAAACTCAGTCAGTCAGTCCATTGCAATAAAGAAGTTGTCAATCCATAAAAATTTGTTCGTCTTCGTCAGAAATTCGGTATTGAAATTATGGGACAAATGAGAGATGTATCCTTCCATATACCTAATCCGGGAGGAAGTTTCACTGTCACGTGTAATGTATTACAAATGGTCGACCTTTTATATACTGAACAACATTAGAAACGTACCACACATGCACCGACGATGCTCAAATATCATGGTTACATTTCAGTCTGACGGGGATATTTCGTATTAGATGGGTGGTGCGTTTCTAATGTTGTTCAGCATAGTTTAGGAGAATGGACATTCATAAGCCATCTCGTCCGTTCGTCACGCTGAAGACCCGGGTTCGATTCCCCACATGGGTACAATGTGTGAAGTCCATTCCTGGTGTCCCCCGCCGTGATATTGCTGGAATATTGCCGAAAGCGGCGCAAAACCTCACTCACTCACTCATCTAAATACATTTATAAGTTACATTGACAGAAGCTACCTTCTCGATGTACCACCCATCTCCGCCGTGCAGCTCCATGTATACGCTGTTGATTGAGCCGAGGGATGCAGAGCGGAAAAATACCTCGTTAACCCTGAAATCAAAAGTACATTCCATGTAGGTATTGGTATATTCTGGATTTATAATATGCTGCATGAGGATGGGTTTACGCCACTTTGACAATATTACAGCTATGTCACGTCCATGGACACCAGAAATGGGCTTTGCACTCTTTTACACAAGTTAATATGGAGATCTACAAGACAATGCCAATGCAACATTTCACATTTCTTTATCATCCATTGTATTTAGACTGTGGATGTATTGTCACCCACTGTATTTAGACTGTGGATGTACTGTCATCCACTGTATTTAGACTGTGGATGTATTGTCACCCACTGTATTTAGACTGTGGATGTACTGTCATCCACTGTATTTAGACTGTGGATGTATTGTCACCCACTGTATTTAGACTGTGGATGTACTGTCATCCACTGTATTTAGACTGTGGATGTATTGTCACTGTATTTAGACATGTATTGTATTTAGACTGTGGATGTACTGTCACCCACTGTATTTAGACTGTGGATGTATTGTCACCCACTGTATTTAGACTGTGGATGTATTGTCACCCACTGTATTTAGACTGTGGATGTATTGTCACCCACTGTATTTAGACTGTGGATGTATTGTCACCACTGTATTTAGACTGTGGATGCATTGTCACTCCACTGTATTTAGACTGTGGATGTATTGTCATCCACTGTATTTAGACTGTGGATGGAATGTCACCCACTGTATTTAGACTGTGGATGGATTGTCACTCACTGTATTTAGACTGTGGATGTATTGTCACTCACTGTATTTAGACTGTGGATGTATTGTCATTTACTGTATTTAGACTGTGGATGTATTGTCACCCACTGTATTTAGACTGTGGATGTATTGTCACCCACTGTATTTAGACTGTGGATGTATTGTCATGTGGATGTATTGTCACCACTGTATTTAGACTGTGGATGTATTGTCACCCACTGTATTTAGACTGTGGATGTATTGTCACCCACTGTATTTAGACTGTGGATGTATTGTCACCCACTGTATTTAGACTGTGGATGTATTGTCACTCACTGTATTTAGACTGTGGATGTATTGTCACTCACTGTATTTAGACTGTGGATGTATTGTCACTCACTGTATTTAGACTGTGGATGTATTGTCACTCACTGTATTTAGACTGTGGATGTATTGTCACCCACTGTATTTAGACTGTGGATGTATTGTCACCCACTGTATTTAGACTGTGGATGTATTGTCACCCACTGTATTTAGACTGTGGATGTATTGTCACCACTGTATTTAGACTGTGGATGTATTGTCACTCACTGTATTTAGACTGTGGATGTATTGTCACCCACTGTATTTAGACTGTGGATGTATTGTCACCCACTGTATTTAGACTGTGGAAGTATTGTCATCCACTGTATTTAGACTATGGATGTATTGTCACCCGCTGTATTTAGACTGTAGATGTATTGTCACTCAGTGTATTTAGACTCTTATAAACAATAAATAATTGTCATCCTCTGTGTATGTCTTTTCCTGTCACTGTTTTTATGTGCATCCGTGACAGAAATATTCCAGTGATGCCATTCTCTATTTTGACTTAAACCACACTGAACCACGTGTTTTGTCAGGTCAACAGTTGACTTGCCTTTGTATATGACGGCTCGGGAAGGATACGCTCACCGTTTCGGAAACACCGTATATCGTCACTATTTGATAGAGATTCGTAAACAAATGAGTATTGTTGGTTGCTGTTTAACGTCCCCCTTAACAATGTTCCAGCTATATGGCGGCGATCTGTAAATATTCTAGTGATCAACAACATGAACATCGATCCATGCAACTGGGATACGATGACATGTGTCAACCAAGTCAGCGAGCCTGACCACCCGATCCCGTTAGTGCCTCTTTCGACAAGCATGGGTTGCTGGAGGCCAATTGTAATGCTATTGTCAACGCGTGGATATGCGTCAACTGGGGAATTAGCTCATGATTAAGATGAAATGTGCGTTGATGAAGACGAAGGCATAGTTGAGTTCAAACGTCTTTAGTACATGACAAACAAATACACAAGACCTGACGCGAAGGTGAGCGGAGTACCTGCTCAACCCCAGGGCGTTCCTACGAGCGGCATTATCCTGCTCGTGGTCGTCCCAACAGACAGTCCAAATACCGAACTCGTACTCCTTCACTGTCTAGAAGTGAGCATACTAAGTATATATACAGTTTTTGACAACAATGGACAGGCGACGACTCATCAATGGACAGACAGAAAAACAATAGCACTTCCTTGACCAGTTGATGTGATGGCAGACACGGCCAAGGGGGATTACCAATGAAGGTTATAAATGTCTTATACAATAATTAATGGGCTGACAAATCAATGTACAATGCGGTAGTGATAAGGATGTACAGTAGTGATTAAAAATACAACTTAGCGTCATATATATATTACAATAAAGTCTCACATGTCTTGAGTACATAGTTTTGGACTTTTTAAATATTTGGACGATGGCTGTCCTGAATTAGTCCATATAACACTATGTTCACATAGTTGTGCAACCCTATTTGCGCTACAATTTGCCTGTGGTTCACACTATCACGATTCGCGCCACGACTGAAATCAATGTTCTCTGTTAGAGTTCAAGAAACAGTGAAGTCCATGTTCAGTGGGGCTGTATATATATATATACCCGTTGGGTTCCAATCGTAGCTCAAATCGTGATCACCTCGATCGTGATCGTGAAAGACATCGCGACCACAATCGTATCCTGCATCGGTTCGCGATGAACGTATCGGAACGTACCTGCACGTACCACATCGTCCAAAATCGGGGACCCCGATCGTGATGATCGTGTCAGATCGCGACCCAATCGTGGAGTCGATAGGGACAATCCTATCACTACAATGTATGTGATCGTATCTGAACGGGAGATCAGATCGTGACAATAGCGTATCCAAGCGCAACAAATGGTATCAAAACATATCGACTCGCATCACCTCGTATCCACACCAGAAATTTCAGAGAAGTTCCACGATCAGCTACGAATGGCCAATTGTGGCATTCGTAACGAATCGTACGACAGTGTGAACCTAGCCTAATTCACCCGGATCTTCATAGGTACATGCTTATGCTATTACTTGGAATGGTATCCTCCCAAAACTTCCACATCCCAAAACTTCCATAGCTTATAACAGCAACATTTCTGGTTGACTGCACACACCTAAGCATACTGATTACCCCAGTCTATAATGCTTTAATCCATTAATCAGTAATGAATACAAACAATCACTTAACAATTATTATTATTAACAATAATACATATTTTTTCTAGTTACATATCACAGTCAACGTAGAACATTTATAGGGAACTTATGTCCTATAGTGTCCAAGATCTTTGCCTATTACATATTCTTTAAACATTCTGAAATATCTGACTGACAAATTTAATGTGTATTATATATAACTTAACAAATCGGAGAGAGTGATATATTTACAAAATGACCACATGAAAATTCACAAGCCAGTCGGGCCAGTGACTGGAGATTCAATGGCCTTTTACTAGCCACGGGCTAGCGGGCCAGTGGCTATTTCGCACACTGCATGTACATTAAATATACGTTAAGCTTGCATAATTAATGTTTTGTATATTAGGAATACTATAAACGTAATCAACAACATTTCAAGGTAATACAAGAAAACAAAATTTACAATTTTTGCCTACTTGAAATATGCACGAATTTATATATTATATAAATATATTTCATATTTTTTAACTAACTGCTCTTTCTCTACTAACATCTCTACTCTGCTAAGTCAGGTGATGTATCATTATCGGTTGTTTCAGTTCAATGCACTTCCTGAGCTATCCTATTAACAAAAAGGGGTGATGAGGAGTTGTTGTTTTAACAATGTGTGGTAGTATTGGGATGTGGAAGTTTTGGGATGTGGAAGTTTTGGGATATAACCCTTGGAATCTATAATGGATGTGGATAGTGAATCACAGCGTGAAACAGAGCTAGTTATATTTTGTAATCTGATAGTGAGAGTGTATCTGTCACTTGTCTTAAAGAAAGACCGGCTAATTACTTTACATGTCACCGCTTAGCAAAACATTGAAACCTTTCGGGCTTTACGTATCTTTACGTAACATATTAAGTAATAAATATACATACTGTCCGGCCCCACGTCTCTGGTCGTTTATGTTCTCGATATTGTACGTTTCTGAAGATCCGTCAATTCGCAAGGAAACCTGGTCATGTGATGTCGCATATTGGCTCTGTACCGATAAACGCCGTCACCTTGTACAGAACACCTGGAGGGTCATGAAACAACGTGCTTGTCATTCTTTGCTGATAAGAGGTGTAAAATGTTAACCATGCTTGTAAACCAAGTTTGTATAAAATCTCGATTTAAACATACAACTTAAAAGCGTCAGACACTTTCAGTCGGCATAACAACTGACATTCACGCTTAAACATAGAGAGAAAAGTACTATTTTGTAGGAAGTAACAACCTTCCTAAGTAATCGAAATAATAATATAATGAACAAAATATTGTAGTATGACTGAATCGTTGTGCAAATGTCATATTTGGTTTATTATATTTAACACTTATCAAATACTTTGTTAGCCAGACGGGACGGTGGGGTAGCCTAGTGGTTAAAGCGTTCGCTCGTCAAGCCGAAGGCCCGGGTTCGATTCCCCACATGGGTACAATTGTGTGAAGCCCATTTCTGGTGTCCCCCTCCAGGATATTGCTGGACTATTGCTAAAAGCGGTGTAAAACCATACTCACTCGTTCATTGATTATTAGCCAGACACTGGCATGTTTAAACACAGTAATCGCTTAGGTGTGTCATAATATAATACTCTCATCACAGATCGCATGACCGTAATGAACATCTCACGAGGATCCGGAGTGAGTGAGGTTTTACAGCGATGTTAGCAATATGCGGATGGCACCAGAAATGGACTTCACACATTGTACCCATGTGGAGAATCCAGCCCTAGTTTTCAGAATGACGAGCGGACACTTTAACCATTAGGCTACCCCACCGCCCTGTTTATTTCGGAAGTAGAATCCAAAATGGGCGAGCTGACTCTTTTTCAGGAATCATCGGTTTTGTGTGATTTGCCAACTTGTTTAAGTGAGTAGATGCATATTTTCCCTAAAGTTTTGAACATTGACCTTTAGTTGCGTATTTTTTGAAATTCCTGACTTAGAGTTACCTTCAGTAACAGGAGCGTCAGGTCATTATAATGGTTTAAAGGGAGGAACTACAGAAGCTCACGGTTTGCACATTCAGTCAACTTGGCTGTTGAATCAGTAAGGTCTCCGATTATGTTTTGGGCGTCTTGACTCCTCATGGAAAGATCGTTAACCATTTCCTCCTGGATCAGCATCGATTCCTTCAGTTTTGCAATCTGTTCTTCAAGACTTGCCATCGCTTTCTCATGTTCAACATTTTCAACATGTCCAACATTTTCAGGTTCTGCACGTGCTATTTCTGCATGTTGGAAACCAAAATAGAACGATGTCATTGGTTAATGCATAACTTGCACGTGACTTCATATCCGCCGATGGGCCTACCACACACTTACACTTGCACTTAGTCTCACCCACAAACGGACCCCTGTTTCTTGATTGGCTGGTCATAGAATGGGCGGGGCTTGTGTCACATTATAAATAGATGTCACTACTTTCATATTGTTGTCAACAATGTATTTCTTTTGATGATTAAAAATATTGATATAAATGGGCCATGAATTGAAAAACAGAAGTACCATATTTATATCGATAGTCACTTAACTGATAACAAATAAAGAATGTACATGATAGAGAACAGCAATCATTATATCTTAAAGAATCTTAATCTCAACCATCCAGCAGGAGGCGGTTAGTCCACCCTCCTGTTATATTGTTTCGTTGTGTGTTTGTTGTTTAATGCGCCACTCAGCAATATTCCAGCTATATGGCAGCCGTCTGTAAATAATCGAGTCTGGACCAGACAATCCAGTGATCAACAGCATGAGCATCGATCTGCACAATTGGGAACCGATGACATATGTCAACCAAGTCAGCGAGCCTGACCACCCGTTAGTCGCCTCTCACGACCAGCTTATATGACGACGTGCATGCGTGTGTATGTGTGGCTGCTTGTACTAGCCCAGACTTAAGCTGGTTTTATAGTGCTAGCAGTTAAGCATGAATACCCCACTAAAACACATTATACTGACTTCAAGCCGACCAGTCCTTGTTGAACCCATTAATGCCGAGAGCCAGGCAGGGAGCAACAAGTACCATATTTTAACGTCTTTTGGTTTGACGCGGCCGGGGATCAAACCTGCGACCTTCCGCTCTCCATGGAGGTGGTCATGCTTATATAGACGTTTCAAGGAGCTTATATGGTCTATAAAGTAAGTATATAACTCACCTTGCTTACAGGTGCAACTAGACTGCGTTTCAAGCCTTCCTGACAGGTCATCTACTCGGGCAGATACATTCCTTAACTCTGTGCCGAGCTCATCTAGTTTGGAATAAAAAAACAAAGGATATAAACAAAGCTTTTTTTCCATTGGCAGGTGAATTAGTAACCATGGCAGCTGTGTCAGTATCCCCCGCCTCCGTGAACATTGGAACCTTTGTTGCTTTCACTAATGGATCAGGGTTTACAGTATCAACTTATTATCTGATTTTCTAAAACCTGCAGTACAAACAGGATGCACAAAACCTAAAGCATGTAGAATAAAGGACGGTATCTTCGAATAAAAAGAAATCACAGGACCCGTGTTTTAGCTCAATTACAATACTAAAAAAATAGGGATTACTTTATCAACTTTTTATCTGATTTTCTAAAACCTGCAGTACAAACAGGATGCACAAAACCTAAAGCATTTAGAATAAAGGACGATAACCTTGAATAAAAAGAAATCACCGGAACCATGTTTTAGATCAGTTTTATTAATGAAATAGGGTTTACATTATCAACTTTTTATCTGATTTTCTAAAAGCATGCACTACAAACAAGATGCACACAATCTAAAGCATTTAGAATAAAGGACGCTAACCTTGAATAAAAAGAAATCATAGCACCAATGTCTTATTTAGCTCAGTCTTGACAAGTACCTCTTAGAATGCATGCACAGTTTCATTCATGTTAAATCAGTGGTTTCTGAGAAATATGTCCAAATTTGCAACAAGTTTGTACCAAGGAAAATATCATGGCTCAAAGATCGTAACTTTGGTAAATATGGTCGGTCAACCTACACTAGTCTCTTGTATGCAAACTTACAGTTCGTTTCTGAGGACAACTTGTCTCCATTTAAGATTGGGTAAAAAGATCTACAAACATATAGCAACTGACATAACTGTATTAAAAGAACATGCAACAAGGGTGCTACTGTGTAAAACATTTTACGGAACCAGTTTTCGCTCTCAGCCTAGAAACGTATTTCGTAGGTAAACATTCAAACTTTTATTCATGCGATTTCAGTAATTTCTGAGTTGTCCTCATTTCACGTTGATATTTAGTGTGTGCATTACCGTGAGAAACATTTGGCAAGGACATTAAATGTATAAAGAATAAATTTCACTAATTTTTTGAACCCATTTGTAATCGGACCTGTAACATCAACCTGTAAAATTACATTTCTCCAGTTTGAGTGAGTGAGTGAGTTTTACGCCGCTTTTAGCAATATTCCAGCAATATCACTGCGAGGGACACCAGAAATGGACTTCACACATTGTACCCGTGTGAGGAATCGAACCCGGGTCTTTGGCGTGACGAGCAAATGCTTTAACCACTAGCCTACCCCATCGCCCCTCTCCAGATTAAACATTAGTTTTTGAGAAAACGTGTTCTCATTGAGATGCGGAAAGATGGACAAACAGACTCCATTCATATATCCTCCGCAGCACCTCGTGGCGGGGGATAGTAAATTAAGTATCAAGTGAGTCGTCAGCTATGAGAGTGAGATGAAACAAGTGAACGAATGAGCAATAGATTTTGACAATTGACTAATTGACAATACAGATGCATATCATATACATAGAGAATCTCACCCAAGTGTCTACTGATATCAAATATATCAACACGAGTTGATAAAGTTGCAAACATCCGAGACTTGCCGAGGATATTTTTACCTTTATCAACGAGTGTTGATATAATTGATATCAGTGGACACGAGGGTGAGATTATATTTAGGTGTCCTCCCATTACGCAGACAGGCAGTTCGCAGACGCCTTAAAACAACAACATTTACGGTTCAATGAACGGTTTAGCTACTACTTGTTACCTACACATTATAATAGAATAGTCCAAAAACACAAGAAAAAACTGGAGTTATATATACTTTGAAAGATGGCTGGAAATACATTAATTTGAATTTTGATTGCTGCACAATGAAAACAGCATATTTTCATAAACATTTTGGTTTAACCTTCTCATTTAATGAGAGTTGACAGCATCATATTGAGAACATTTTCAAAAAGACATCTAAAATGACTGGAGCATTTCAGAAATTAAAGTTCCTACTAAATAGAACAACACCAGTTTTTCTTCAGGATTTACTCCCACCTGTAGTAGGCGATCGGACAAGTTATGAGTTAAGAAACTCCAATAATTTTAGCCAACCATGTACAAGACTGAGGTACTCAACGTCATATTTTATTCCATCAGCAGGTAAAATGAGAAATAATATTCCCTCTGTAGCATCATTTAAATCTTATATCCACGTGAAAGAAAAATGTGCACCTAAATGTTATTCATATGGAATAAGGAAGTTAAATGTTTTGCACACAAGATTAAGATATAGTATGACCTGAAATTATTGAGAATTTTAGGAATATGTTTAATTGGATTTCTAGTATAAACAACCTTGACCAGCTATCAAGTGCAAGGTTTCATTCAAGAGAGACAACTCCGTTAATCCTTTTTCATTAGTTTGTGAAGAGTTATCCCCCTTTGTTTACTTGCTAGCAGACGACATTTTCAGTGATCCTCAGTATGGATGATTTAGAGAAGAGGAAGTTGATTTTAGAGTATTATAACAAGGACATCAGATCAGCTAAAGTGATTTCAAGTAGAACAGGCATCCCTTTGTCCACTGTTTATCGTGTTTTGAAAAATATTGCAAATGGATATGGCATTGAGCACCAGGGAGGCGCAGGTAGGCCCAGAAAATTGACTGTCGGTGACAGGAGGCGGCTTGGTATTCTTGTTTTAAAACAAACGAAGGAGTTTAGA